TGAGAGAGAACACTGATAGGCCACCTCCTGGGGACCGGTTGGGCCCACAATCTGGGCATGTACCCTGACCAGGAATCAAACCGGCAACCTCTTGGTGCATGGGTTGACACTCAACCACTGAGCCACACCGGCTGGGTGAGAATCTGTTCTCTTTATAACAGGACACAATTGGACACTGGTTTTATTAACCAAGACTTTGATTGCAATGTCATGTTTGAGAGAGACATGCATAGACTCTGGATGTCACCAGAAAGCTTTAAGGAATTAAGATTGGCCCTGGCCAGGTAGCTCAGTTGATCAGAGCATTGTCCCCATAAGCCAGTTTGCAGGTTCATTCCCCATCAGGGAACATACAAGAATCAACCAATTAATGTGTAAATACGTTAAACAACAAACTGATGATTCTCTCTCTTCTTTTCACTGATCAATTAAAAAAAAACAAAAAAAAACTGACTTTGGAAGCTGATAAAAGCCCTTTGGAAAAACCACCTGGTATCTTGAATCTTGCTCATTTACATGGTTCATAGTGGTCTTTTCAGGTAAAAAACGAAAGCTGCTTTCCTAGGCCCTGGCTGGTTTTCTCAGTGGTTAGAGCGTAGGCCCGTGGACCAGAGTCCTGGGTTTGGTTCCCGCTAAGGGCAGGTACTTTGGTTGCAGTTTGTCCCTGGCCCCTATTGGGGTTGTGTGGGTGGCAGCCACTTGATGTGTCTCTCTTACATGGATGTTTCTTTCTCTTTCTTCCTCCCTCTCTCCCTCCCACTCTAGCTGAAGATAAATGCAAAAAAATCCTCGGGTGATGATAAAAAAAAAAGTTGCTTTTCTGGGAGACGGCAAAGAAAGAACCTCAAGGCATTTTGGGGGACCTCAAGAACTTGAGGAAATCACCCAAATCTATGGATTTTGCAGGCAAAGTCTGATGGCAACTATGTGGCTTGGCTTCTTCACCCTGAGAGGCTACTGAAAGTTTAATCTGGAGATTCCTTATGAGATTCCAGCAAAGCAGGTTTAAGAGAGTCTATATGATCAATTGCTATTCTTGTTGAATTTTAACAAATAAGCCAAATTTATTGAAACTAGACTTATGTAGTAAATAGTCTTAATGTGACCATCTTTGAGAAAAGTAAGAGTGATTTTAGGGAAAGCAATTGTGTTTCCATAGAATTTATTATAATACACTGTTGTGGATATTAGACTGTAGTTGTTTATTGTCTTTAAAGTTTTACTTTTCACCTATATATTAGACTGGATCCTGAATTTTTCCAGTTTTCTTAAATATCTGGCTATAACCCTCTGAACTAATATTTCATTTTTCTTCCATCCTTTGACTTAGTATTATTAAGAACTAAAACTTTTCTGAACCTTGCAATTGCAAATGGAAGCTAAAGGACATAATATAAACTTCAGAAAAATCATCACAACAGCTTATATTTAAACAGTCTCAGTGACTGATGCTGTGTAAGTCATGCAGAATTCACTGGAGCACCTGATGACATCAGAAACATTAAAAATGGCAGACAAGGAGGATTTATCAGATATTCACTGCCTGCCTTCATTCCAGCAAAAGAAACTTTGAGCTTTACATCCAGAAGTCTTTATTGACAACCTTACAGACTCAGAAACTGGTTTATAATTTGCTCTGATCATTACCTTTTTTTTTCTGTATTCATCGATATATACCTTATTATAAATACCTGACTGCTCACCCTGGCCTGTGTGGCTCAACAGGTACAGTGAGGACCCAGGGATCGAAGGGTTGCAGGTTTGATTCCCGGTCAAGGGCACGTACCTGGGTTGCAGGTTACATCCCAGCCCCAGCCCCTGTCAGGGAGGCAACCAACTAATGATGTGTCTCTCTCACATGATGTCTCTGTCTGTCTCCCTCTCTCTCTTCTCCCTCCATTCCACTTTCTCTAAAAATCAAAGGAAAAATACCCTTAGGTTAAGGATTAATAACAACAAAAAACACCTGATTCCCCAGCCAGTGTGGCTCAGTGGTTGAGCGGTGACCCATGCACCAAGAGTTCACTGGTTTGATTCCCGGGTCAAGGTACATGCCCAGGTTGTGGGCCCAATCCCCAGTGGGGGGTATGCAGGAGGCGGCCCATCAATGTTCTCTTTCATTGATGTTTCTATCTCTTTCTCCCTCTCCCTTCCTCTCTCTCTAAAATCAGTAAAGAAAAATATTTTTAAAAATACCTGATGGCTTGCATACACAATATAAGCCTCACTTTGGGAACCCATGTGTATCAGAGCCTCATGAAATGAGACTCAACATATTTAACTAAACTGAATTATTCTCAGAACTGAATAATTGAATCAATGAAATATGGAGCAAGCTACCAACTTAGCTTCTAGAATGTTAAAGTTTATTATTTAAAGTTTCAAAGGCAAGACTAATGGGACAAAAATTATGCCAACCTGAAGCTGCTTTTTGGGATATTGACTTTAAGCTATTTATTAAGGAACACTCAGAACCTTACACTTCCTCCCTTTCTCTGCCTAAGAGATAAGACAGAGAAAAGGCTGCTTCAGGAAGAATATTTTAGGATGCTGCCTTAGACTAATTTGAATTAAGTATGGTAAACAAGAGAGCTTTCAGACTTGTATCTGTTGTCTGGATACCCTCTGTGACCCACTGTTTCTGAGTGGTTTAGGGGGACCTTCCTGCCCTTGGTGTTCAGCTCCTTTGCAACTACCTATAAGTGACCCATTCTCACTTCTAAAATAGAATATCCCATTCTCTCCTTTCCCTTTTTCATTTGTTCAAATAGTTTTATATACCCAATGTTGCCTCACTGTCTTTGAGAATTTTCATGGATTTATCATGTCTATGCGAATCCCCCAGGCACATACATTAAAATTTTTTTTCCTGCTAAAAAGAAAAAGTCACCCTGGCTGGGTAGCTCAATTGGTTAGAGCCCCGTCCTGCTACCCCCCAAGGTTGCAGTTCAATCCCTGGTCAGGGCATATGCAGGAGTCAACCAATGAATGCATAAGTGGGAGGAATAAGAAATCAATGTTTCTCTATAAATCAATTTTAAAAAGTAACTTGGTTTTTGTACTGAATTATTACAGTCAAACGTTTGTAAACATAGAACTTTCACATAAGGAAGACTTTCTTTCAAAACAACTAACCAAAAAATAAACCATTAAAATTTAGAAGTTTATTCAAATTTATAGTAAAACATGTAAAATAAGAAATGTAAATTAATTATATAAGATTAATTCAAATGTAATTGGTGCTTCAACATATATAAAATGAAACTAGGAAATTTCTAAAATCCTGTGTAGCTTAAATTCTAAAATTGTATGATATAAAAATTCCTCAAACTTTGAATTAAATACATTAGGTTGTTCAAAAACTGTAAGATAAGCTTTTCCGATAATGCAAATGGCCCTTAAATGTTAGAATACTGATAGGTGCATCCTGTAAACAATCCATCAGTACAGTACTGTTTTCAAACTTCCTGTTAGCATGTATTCTGAATGAATAATGGGCAATGAAAAACTATTTTCTCTTACTTGGACTGCTAATATTAACAGCATGCAACATAGCTACTCAGTGAGGAGGAGTTATACAAGGCCCTATTATTATAGAATCCTGAAAGTCTCATGAACTTTTGAAAAATATCATTAGTTATCCACTGAATATCATGCCAAACATAACTGAATACAGTACCTTAAATTCTGAAATATTTAAATAATTTTGAGATGTATTTATCTATAAACAAAACAGGCTATTTTAGAGTCTGAATATCACTGTAAATCTCCTTTGGTTAAATAGGGGAAAATGTCTGTCCATGGTAGTCTTCTCTCATAATTCTGTCAATTCTTACTATGCACATTACATATTTCCATGTGCTGTAAGAGAGAGAAACTGCACAGAAGTATCCTTAGGAAAAAGACTTATCGATAATAAAACAATCTGGGAGAAGTAAGCTTATCATAAAGGAGTTTTACACAGAATGCTGTAACAGGAAAAACAGAGAAAATCTGACTGACTCCTTAGATCCCCCATATATATTAACTTTATTCTTAAAGTAAGGAACTGGTCTTACCATTCAAAACACAGATAAAACAAGACAGCAGTCTAAGAATAAATTTTACATCTGTAAGAAAGAGTTTTAAACTTAATTTATGAATCATGAAAAAAAAAAAGTAGTACAAAAGAAGTAGGCAACATAGAAAACGTTTACCATTAAATACTCTTCCCAAATTGGCAGGCTGACCCTGCTGTTATACTTACCACTCTTACAAAACCACTAATCTGATCAAGAACCCTCATTTTAAACCACGCATTTTTAAAGCTATTGCAACAAGCACAATGCAGTAGCTCAACAAATAATACTACAGATTAGTGATCTAGAAGATAAACTTTGAGACTATCAGCAAATTAGCAACCACACCCTTAAAAAAGAGAACTCGGGCGGTTCTCCATTCACTTTCATTAAGGGTGGCTCTTCCGTTTAAAATGCAATACTTCATCGCCTAAACCGACCATGTTTGTTTTGGAATTACTCTACTGTTTTATAAACAGTGTCACAGATTAAAGCTAAAAACGTTACCTACGCCTGAAATGATCAGTTTGGAGAAAGGAACCATATACTACGGAGAAACTGAGTCTTAGTTACCTAACAATTCACTCTAAGGGCATTATAATTAATCACAATGATAGTCTGTGCATCACAAGAATTAAAACCGTTGACAAACTCAACCAAAGCCCAATGATAACGTATTACTTCACCAACAGGGTTTCCTGTGGGTTCGAAGAAAGGCATTACTAGTAAAATATGGTCTGATAGCTGAGTCTCTAGGTTTCCCCGGTCATTTAATTTTTTAACCCTAGAAAGGGGCCCGTTTGCGGGCACTGTGAAAACCTGCGGAAAGAGCAGTTCGGGAGGGGAACGAACGCTCAAATTAAAATAACCGTGGAGAGCAAAGAGAACTCCCTGCTCTCTAACTCGCCTCAGGCTGAGCCGGGCGAGGACAGGGACTCTTACCTGCCAGCGGCTGTAGGTGAGGAGGACCATGGCAATGGGGATGGCGGTGCCCGACATGGCATGGGTGGAGGGCATGCTGTACTCGGAGTTGTAAAAGACCTCCAACTTGACCACGGGCGGCGAGGCGGGCCGCGGCCAGCGGATGATGTCCTTGGTGCACTGGCCCAGGTACATGACCAGCACCCAGATGATCACTAGCCTCCGGCCCACCAGGGCGTCCAGGTTCCAGATCCAGAAAGGGAAGAACAGGATGTAGAAGAGCTCGTTGCCCAGCTCCGTGCCGAAGCAGAACAGGTAGTAAAGGGGCCAGTTGCTCACGTGGGCCAGCTCGCCCTCCTCGCCGGTCAGCGAGTTTCGCCGCAGGGCGCCCGCTCGCCGCGGCGAGGCCGGGCCCAGCTCGGTGGCCAGCCCATTCCGCACGCCGTTTGGGGCGCCGCCGCCGCCCGGCTTGGCGGGGCACTGATTGCGGTCGCTCCCGGAGGGCTGGGGGCCTCCGCACGCCCCAGGCAGCCGCTCCCGGCACTGGGAGTCTCCGGAGAGGGGCGCCTCCGCCTTCTCGTCCTCCCTCGGAACCGGGGCGGCGGCGGAGCGGCTCCGCGGCGCTTCCACCCCGCACAGGCGCTGGAAACGGGCCACTTTCTGCGGCTCCTGTAGACAGACAGCCAGCTGAGCCAGGCGCTGCCTCAGCGACATGATAACGGGACCTGCGCGGCCCGCGAACGGGAAGACGACGGCAGGAAGGCGGACCGGTCCCAGGCGCAGCCCTGAATCGTTCCCGCGCGCCTGGCCAGAGGCTCTGGCGGCGGTGGCGGCGCTGGCGGCGGTGTCGGGGGCGGGGGCAGCGGCAGCAACAGCAACAGCAGCAGCGCCTCGCTCGACCCGCTGGGTTCTGCTGGGTGACCGCGCCACAGGCCGCAGTAGCGGCCGCGCGCCCCGCCCTCGCCGGCGCGCGCTCCGCCACCGCCCGCGGCCTCCACGCGCCGGCGCGCGCCGAGCCCCGCCCCGCCCCCCACGGCCGCCCTGGGAGGGAGCCCGGCCGCGCGCGTCCGCCTCGAGTGCATCCGGCCCGGTCGAGGTGCTGAGGCTCGGCCCCGCGGCTTCCCCAGGCTCGCCCGAATACCCGCCAGGCGTCGCAGCACTCGGCGTGCGGGAGCCTGCGCGTCCTCCGTCTCCAACTTCAGCCCTGTTTCCTCGCAGCCTGCTGTTGCCCGCCGTCCTCCGTCGCACGTTGGCAGAGGCCACGGTGCTGGTGCTCGCTTCGGTGGTGCCAGTGGCCAAGCACCCGGATATCCTGCTGGCACGGAATCAAATGGGGAATGGTGAATGAAGGCGAAATAACCGGCACGCGCCCGGAGTCGTTCGACTAAATCATCACAAGTAATTACAGAGCCGCCTCTAAGGGTTGATGTCCTGAAAGCCACGTGCCAATTGACCAGTGGTGGCAAGGCTAGATGTAGATCGCAGGACAACACTGTGTCACTGGCCAGATACTGTGGTATAAGTTGAGAGATCCCAGGCATTTTTTACTTACATGTAAATATCCTTTTAATAAATTCTAACACGTAGCCGCAGTATTTGCACAGAAATTAATTGGTGGCTGAATGCAGTGTGTAGATTTTTTAGTTTGATAATATTGATTTAGTGTCACACTCTCACAAGTTACAGACTTGACTTCTAGAAATAATAGTTTTTATTAGAAGGTCTCAGAACTTTAATTTCAGGAAGTTATTTTGGGTAAGGTGAGTGCCTATAATTAAATAATTTGAACCTCTTCCAAGAAGGTTGAGAAATTCTCCTGCCATTATGTCATTAGAAATAGTTTCTGCTTTCCCAGGGAGAGGGATTCTCCTCCTCCCACTCACTCCACCTATTAGGCTCTGACTATCCCTGCCCTCAAGATGCCCACAGTATTAATGGGCCAGAGAGTGGGGCCCACCTTTAGAGTACAGAGAAAAGTGCTGAAATAGAGGCATATACAACATGCCCTGGGAAGAAGAAACAAGTTCACTAGGACAGCAGGAAAGGTGTTAAAAGTGATCCTGTTGAGATAGATTGTAATTAAAGAGCAAAATACCAATAGGCAGGAAAACTGTCCTCAGATGAGGATTTTAAAAAAAAATTGGTAGAGAAGTCCATTTTAGGAAGAGAGAAAATGAGTAAACAGGAGATGGAAATGTGTAAAGATGTATTTGGTAAACAATTGATAGCTCACAGAGTGCAGAGTAGGAAGGTAAGTGATTGGAATGGAGTTAGAAAGGGAACATAGGACCAAATTGTAAAGGCCTTGAACGCCAAGCTGGAGATTATATTTTGTAGGCATAGGGGAATATGCAAGACTTTTAAGCAAGGGAGTGACAACATCAGAGCTGTGCTTTAGAAAGATAACTGGGAAGAAAATTAAAGAGAAGTTGCCAGCTGTCAGAGACCAAAGGCCAGGTAAACAATTAGAAGATGATTGCAGTTAAGTGAGAGAATAAGGGCCAGAACTAGGACTGTGGTTCTGGGAATTGGAAGGAAAGGGATAGATTTGAACAGGATTTCAGAAGTAGGAAAATAAATTAAAGCACTTCATTTGAATTCCTAGGTCTGCAGGACATACCTATATCAAATCATTATGTTGTACACCTGAAACTAATACAGTGTTCTATGTCAATTATACCTGGATAAAACGGGGGAAAAACTGTTACTTAATAAAAAAATGATAATATTTAAAACGGAATATTCATTAATGTTAATTTATTTTCTTTGCTTCTCTGGTACCCAAATTAATTTCTTGGTTTTTTTATCCTCACCAGAGGACATTTTTGCATTTTTTTTTTTTTTTATCCTCACCTGAGGACATTTTTCCATTTTTTGTTCAGGTAGAGTGGGAGGGAGAGAAAGGAACAGAGAGAGAGAGAGAAACATCGATGTGAAAGGAACACATCGAGTGGCTGCCACCCGCACAACCGACCAGGGCCGGGGGCAAACTGCAACCGAGGTACGCGCCCTTAGCGGGAACCGAACCCGGGTCTCTCAGGACCACAGGCCGACGCTCTAACCGCTGAGCCAAACCGGCCAGGGCCATTTTTGCATTTTTTGTTCAGACATAGTGGAAGGGGCAGAGAGAAACATCGATGCGAAAGGGACACATCGAGTGGCTGCCACCCGCACAACCAACCAGGGCCGGGGACAAACTGCAACCGAGGTATGCACCCTTAGTGGGAACCGAACCCGGGTCTCTCTGGACCGCAGGCCAACGCTCTAAACACTGAACAAACCAGCCAGGGCAATTTCTTGTTTGTTGACTACAAAATGTATAAATTGCAAACTATTTACCATAAATTATTACTATCACTAGAATGTTTTTGACATGTAGATGTCAGTACATAGCCCATTATGGATACCAATAAATGGTGATTATGAATTTGTTATTTTTGAAAGATTAAACTTGTTTATTAAATTCTTACATATACACCTAATGATTTTATCCTGCATCTTTGACTAGTTTTAAGATTTCCTATGAATTCTCAAAAAGATGCCTATGATGCCCTGGCCAGTTTGGCTCAGTGGTTAGAGCGTCGGCCCGAGGGTTTGATTCAAGCCAAGGGCACATACCTCGGTTGTGGTTTGGTCCCCGGCCCTGGTTGGGGTTGTGCTGGAGGCAACCAGTTGATGTGTCCCACTTGCTTTGATGTTTTTCTCTCTCCCTCCCTCCCACTCTATTTGAGGATAAATAGAAAAATATCCTCGGGGTGAGGATTAAAAAAAATAAAAATAAAAAAGATGCCTATCATATTTCTCCTTCTCTTACTAGTTAGTGACCTAAATTTTAAGTTTGCTCTTTTGTAGGGAAAAAAAGATGCCTATCATAGCACAATATAAATAAAATGTAGTAAATATACATAAAATATATAATTAATAGATATATAATGAGTTTTCCATTCTCTCTTTTCTATGCCCCAACCTTTTAATCACCTATCCCAAAGATTCTTAAAAAGACAAAACAAAACAAAAACCTTACAGAAAAATAGTGAGAGTATTCCAGGCAACAAAATAAATAGTCTCTCACCACCTTTATTTCTAATCCACGTAGGCTGAGATGACCAAGAAATTCTTTTCTTAACATACAGATTATTAACACTCAGTTTTAGTTTACCCCAACTCTGTAGTACTTTAAAAATTTTTTATCTTAGGACTTCCGGTCAAGATGGCGGGTAGGTAAACGCAGTATCACATCCTCCCACAACCACATCAAAGTTACAACTAAACTACAGAACAACCATCATTCAAAACCGCCTGACATCAAGCTGAATGGAAGTCCTACAACTACGGAATTAAAGAAGAAGCTGCATCGAGACTGGTAGGAGGGGCAAAGGCGGAGGGGCGACGGGTTGGTCTCACACCCACGTGTGGCGGATAAAAATCAGGACACCTCAGCTGGGAAGGTCCTTCCTGAGGACTGAGGGGTCCCTGTCCCACACCAGACACCCCACCCAGGTTCCAGTGCCAGGAAGAGAAGTCCCCATAACTTCTGGCTGGAAAAACCAGCGGGAACTGAGGCCCAGGGAGACTGAGGCAGTTGGAGCCCCAGGCAGCTCCTTAAAGGGCCCGCGCATGAACTTATCAGACTCACTCCCTCTAAGCTTGGAGGGGAGGCAGCTCGAGGGGTGCCAGAGACATACACGGAAGAACTGAGCTGTTTGGCATTAAAGCGAGGGCTGGAGAGGCGGCTTTCTTTGGGACAAACGTGCTGTCAGAGGCCTTTGTTCCTTTGGTGAGCCCTTCCCTGGGGCAGCAGACAGCCGCCATATCTGGGACTCCAGCAACCTGGCTCACACTGGTAGCCCTGCCCTGGTGATTCTCTGAGGCTCTGCCCCACCCAACTTTCAGGCCCACCCAAGCTGTTGCCAGTTGCTTAACCATAGGATTGGCCTGTCTTGGATCCTGCTTCAAGTTTTCCTAAATTCTTTTTTTTTTTTTTTTTTAATCCTCACCTGAGGACATTTTTCTATTTTTTGTTCAGGTAGAGTGGGAGGGGGAGAGAGGAAGAGAGAGAGAAACATCGATGTGAAAGGGACACATCGAGTGGCTGCCACCAGCACGACCAACCAGGGCCGGGGACAAACTGCAACCGAGATACATGCCCTTAGCAGGAACCGAACCCAGTCTCTCGGGATCGCAGGCCGATGCTCTAACCGCTGAGCCAAACTGGCCAGGGCGAGGTTTTCCTAAATTCTTTCAAACAAGCAGCATCTGGTCTCAGATAGCCCCATACCTCTCGTTAAGTAATACACAGAAACAAACACAGGGAGGCAGCCAAAATGAGGAGACAAAGAAACACGTCCCAAATGAAAGAACAGAACAAAACCCCAAGAAAAGAACTAAGCGAAATGGAGATAAGCAACCTAACAGATGCTGAGTTCAAAATACTGCTTATAAGGATGCTCAATGAACTTAGTGAGAACCTCAGTGAACTTAGTGAGGGCCTCAAGAGCATAAAAAAGGACCAGTCAGAAATGATGTATGCACAGTCAGAAATGAAGGAGGCATTAACTGAAATAAAGAATAATTTACATAGATTCAAAAGTAGAGTATGTAAATCCAAGAAGCAAACCATTGATTTGGAATATAAGGAAGCAGAAAACGCCCAATCAGAACAGCAAAAAGAAAATGGGGGGGAAATGAGGAACATCTGTAATAAATTCAACAATAAAGATTTTTAAAAAATAGAAAATAAATTTTTATTTTATTGTTGACAGTATTCAGATATCTCTCACGTTCTCCCTTTTTGCCCCTCCACCCAACCC